CCCACGTCACTGAATAATGAGTGTAGATGGTAGAAAGCCAGGAAACTCTGGGCCAGAATTATTCCACCATTTCATTTCAAATAAAGGTGACGGCTGTTTGTTTGTTTTTTGTTTATCTGATTTTTGGGGTTCTTTCTTTCTTTTGTGAATGAATTTTGAAAAACCCCACAAAGAGAAGCTTAAAAATGTCTCCATCAACCTTGTAGTGTGAGTCAAAGGTTCAATAGCTGACAGGATATGACTGTGGTGAAAAGCATTACAGATTTCAAATGTTCTGTTTTAGGACACCAAAATACAGTAAGTGAAAGTTTACTTGACACAACTTTCTTTTCTGAATAAACGCTACTTAATATTTTAAATGACTTAAAACGTACGGTAGCTACATCATCGGCTATTTTCTGTTTCTTTTCACTATCACAGAACATAAAAGCTGCAACATGTTTGAAGATATGAGTCCCAGTCACTGCTGCCAAGGCCTACACAGGCAGTTTATATTATACAGAATTAAAAACTTGCAGCTGATAACAGCCTGGCTTATCTTTTTGTGTGTTTACTTCTCTCTGACAGTATTAATATCAAGCCACTTCACATCCCACTGTAGACATGCCAAACATGCTGTATCATCTGAGATACTGTACTTTTACTCACTGAATGCATAATTAATAACCAGAAATACACAGTGTGAATAGCAGAACAGAAAAGAGCAATAACAACACTGATTTATTCATGGGTGTATAGCAAAGTATGTTATGTCACACAATGATAAGCAGCTGAACAGTGCCATCTTGTGTGTCAAAGCAGGAGCATTTCTGTGGGTTCCTTTTATTATATAGCCTTTACTGCACATTTAACTTCAAACAAATATTTGATGTAAATCAGTAGAGCCATGGTTCTTTATTGAACATATGAAGTTATATGTTCTTGTTCAAAGTAACATCGACGGGTAAGAATAAAGAATATGTTCAATATATAAAACGGTTCCCTATTTCTAGACCTGTCTTGCTAATCAGAGACCCATTTTACAGTAGAGACCCAGAGACCCATTTTCTTTTTAGTCATGGCAACAACTTTGAATAATGACACTCATTCAATACTGGCCCACTTGTCATGTCTCAAACGCCCTTAAATATGTCACATTTCTCTTCAAGGTGTAAACGTAAATGACAGCTATTTTCTTGGTTAATATCCTGAGTTAGAATGTCTGTAAAACAAAACACAAAATTGTCACACTTTGTGTCCCCCTATCTGGCATTTATAAGCTGTACACATTATAATGTAGTTGAAAGCAGATAAGTGGCGTGTTACCTGACAGAAATGCAGGAATGACAATATTTCTGGTCATGACTGTAAGTGGCCACCCATAAGGAGGAGTGTCACAAACTGTGAGCGCCCAAGAGAAAGTGTAAAAAAGTAGTAATACAGTTTAACTGCTCATAATAAGACTGTGTGAAATGATTTTTATTTAAATTGTATTTAATTATAAGGTATACACTATGGCTACATGAGCAGGTTAGAAAACAAGTTCTCTATTCACCTGATAATTGTAGTAAAAAATTACCTGTGGTTTAGCTAGTGAAATTTTCACATGAGGTATTTTACATTACCTGAGCAACTATTTTAACCATTTGACTTAGCTTCTGCAAAATTGGATTTTTACGTGGGGTACGTGATGGCACCAGTGGCTCGACGACCAACATCCAGCTTTCTAAGCGGAGGATAAAACGTGGTGGGCACCCCCTGCAGGAGGAGTGCAGAACTACAACTGAACTATTTTGCATCGGATAGAAGTCCACTGGAATGTTAAAAAAAACTGCAGGCTATTAATTAATCATTTTAATTCTTAGATAATTGAACAATGTGTTTTAACGGCCACCTGCACATTCATGGGTAATAGATATGATATTTGGATATATTTTCCGGTTTATAAGCCATCTGTTATGCTGGTTCAAACGACAGATAACTACAGCCTAATGTTCCTCTGACATCAACACATTTATTTTTTGGTGTCTGTTTCACCCAGTTCATCTTATTATACTGTGTTTTTCACCCCCCTGGTGATCCTATGGAGTGCTGAGCTGCTGAGACTTGGACCCAAACCCATAGCGTTTTCCCCTCACGCATTTAGATGGCGATCTAGCACTCTGGACAGTTGCATCAGTTCCTGTGTGTGCGTGTAAATGGCAGTGTCGTGGCTCCTCCACGCTACTTTTTATTCCCAGGACGCAGAATAGTAACAAATGCTCCTCTACTAGGAAAAGGCAGCGATCATAATAAATTCGTCACCCTTCTGCTCGGGCTGGCTCAACCAGGCAAAGTGCGCAGCTATTTGTAAGCTACAATAACAACAACCTCCAGTACCATGCCCATGGATAACGTGGGGATTTCTCTGATTTCTCTTCCCCTCGCCGTGAGGAGACGACATCTGCGTCAGATCCAAAGGCAGCCTTCAGCTAATTGCTTCGGATCGTTCTACTAAACAACAGAAGGACTTCGTCGCGTTGCAGACTGTGGTCGCAACAGATCGGACGCAAGACGTGGATTTGAAGGTATTTAATAACTGCGACACTGGTTATGGAGGCCGACGTGCACACGCGTCCGCTACAATTGGGCAGTGTCACTGTGGTGCTCGGTGCGCACGTCTTGAAAGTGCTCCACGTTTAAATGGATACTGTGTAGCTGTGTTGGCACGGGGCTGCAGCTACAGGACGTAGCGCACTTCATAACTGTGCCTGAAGCGTGTGCACGACTCCGAGTCTTAAAAAAAAAACCGGTAGCGGTTTCATGAGCTCCGTTTTGCCTTCGTATTTATTTTGATCATGTTTTAGTACAGACTAGGAAGTTGCTCATCACTAAGGTTGTGCTCAAACACAGGACAACTATACTACGCACTTTTCTGCTGCGCTTCATATTGGTTTTCTGAGGAGGCACGCCCACTCCGGAGTTCTGTGCTTGTTCCATGCTGATAAATTCTAGATTTTATTTATTTATAAACACATTATCAGTGTGTTCATTCATTATTTCATCAGCTGCAAGCCAAGATAGAGAGGCTAAAGGCAGTCTACCTTGAGCACTCTAAAGCACTGTGTGGGAGGCTTCTTTCTTTTTTCTTTTTTTTTTTTACAATAAATGTCAATTTTGTTTTGCCAACAGAGGGGGGCACTCTTACAAATAGACTTCCAGCTAGAGTGACTGGGGAAGTTTTAGATCTGAGAGAGGCAGCAGAAGGGGAATACATAGTACATGGTACAGTAATTTAACAGATTATAGAAAGGGAAAATCTTACCAAAACTATCAATTATAAAGCATATCACTGCCTATTAATTATATTATTGAGAATGATGGAATAGGCTGAAGAAAATAGAGGTGAATTCACTACATAATTACTGTAGGAATATACTGTGTGCCTTTGCACATTATACATGCATTTTTGCAATCAAAAAGCTCAAGTTGACAGTTGAATCTTGTCTTGGTGCATCCTGTGTCCCAGTGATGTTGGACTGATCGGCTGCATTGGGTCTCTGTGTTTGTAAAGAGTCATGGAGGAAACAGCTACCGCAGCTCCTGGCACTGGTGCTGCCCCATCGACTCCAAGACCTCAGCCTTCTTCGTTTGCCCCCTCCCGCAGCTTGCTGGAGTGGAGACGGAGGGTTAAGTCTGAGTATATGCGTCTTCGCCAGTTAAAACGCCTTAAAAAAGCAGAGCAGGTCAAGGTGGGTCAACGCAAACATGTTGAATCTGTGCCTGTGAATTTTATACATGGGGGGGTTATCGTGCTGTACATATGTGATTATATACAGCACTGACTGTCTGTTTGTTTATAGACCCTGTTCATGTCCAATAGACAGAAGATTGAGCAACAGACAACTCTCCTGAACACAGAGTGGTCCAAGCTCAGGATTCAGTCCATCCCTTTGTCAACTTCTAACGGAGCTCCGGTCAGCAAGAAGGTGTGTATGTCTGCATGTGTGCCTGTGTGCACTTGTGCACATGGTCCTGGCATTTCTCACACTGAAACTTGTTTACACACTCACACTATAGGGACTCAGCACTGCTGGTCCCCACAGTCTAAACCCATGAATCTTAGTCTGTGTGTGTTTGTGTGCTGCAGAAAGTAAAATAATGTTGGTTATATCAAATAACCTTCCATATATCGTGTCCACGCTGCTCAGCTCTTCTTCACATTCCTGCGCTGACTGCTCCAGCTCAGATAGTAATATTATTATCAGTAGTTGTGTTCTCATGTCTATCATGTTAGGTCGTCACATGGTTGTCAAGTGTTACTAAAATATATCAGGATGATGCTGTGTGCCACAAATGGATCATATAGCAGCCTAATAGTGGCCTCTGGCCTTGTGGGAGCTCATAATAGGAACAGTGTGAGGTCAAAACAGCATCTTTCTTTTCCCACATACTGTCAAGGCCCAGTGTATTGTGTTTATGTGTTTATCTCACCTGTTTACAGTTGTTGATTAGATAGTAACAAAGTTGTCCAGTGATCCTCTACTATAGTGTCAGCTCACTCCCAGTCCACGTCTGGCTCTCTTACAGATGTGTACAGTGGAGTTTGGATTCCCAGAATTCAAAGCTCAAGCCACTGCCATGAGGCCTCTGTCAAAAGTGGCAGGAATCCCCTTCATGTACTCATGGTCGCCTCTGCAGCACAACTTCATGGTATGAAATACATCCTATTATGTTGTGGGTGTTGCAATTACAATGCTTTTACACATACAGAACACACTTTATGGATTTTCCCTCATTCACCTGATTCCAGTTCAGAAGATTTGTATGTGTTAAATGGCGACTGGACATGCTCCTCAGTTAGCATCAGCCTGTTTCCAGTTAACATCTAAACCAGTTTGGTAAACTCAAGAATGCATATTATCAAGCCAGAAACAGGGCTTTTTGCCTTTATTTCAAGAATATATAGTGCTCACATATAGTGACATGTGAGATTAGGTGGTCACTGACCTGTCTTCGTGGATGTTTTTGTGTCCTAGGTGGAAGATGAGACGTTCCTTCACAACATCCCCTACATGGGCGATGAGGTGCTGGAACAGGACGAGGCCTTTCTGGAGGAACTCATTGACAACTATGATGGTGTCCATGGCGATAGAGGTGTGTGTCCTGTCAGATGTTCCCCACAGATCCAGCAATTCAGTCCCTTATTTACTGCCAGTCTGATATGCTGTATATCACTTACACATTTAGTGGAGAACGTAGGGTTATTATATGTTAATAATGTAGATGGTGTCATGTTTTAGCATATCTAGAATGCTATGGGAAATACAGATTTGTAAGAGCTATACTCTAGGTGTTGTTTTGATGTACAGTATTGATTGTGTCCCAGAGGGTGGATTTATCAGTGATGAGATCTTTAAAGAGCTAGTGGAGGCCTTGAGCCAGTACTCTGACCATGAGGAGGAAGAAGAAGAGGAAGCAGCGACAGTGGCAGAGCTGACGGGGAAGAAGGAGGAAGAAAGAGCGATGAGGAGGAGCTCAGTCGAGGGTTCAGAAGAGACAAAAGCTGGGACTGTGGTGTATATCAGGAGGAAGAGGAGGAGCACTGCTGAGGGTGAGCATTTGTGTGTTCAGACTTTGTCCTGTGAGTGAACAAGAGGGGTGCAGCATGAACAAGGCTGCCACTGTTCCTCCCATTATACTGTACAGCTGCCACAAGGTCACCCTTCCACAGCAGCTCTGGAACTGGCATTGTTTACTTTAAAGCTGCCCCTGTGTCCCTGCATACTGTGTGTGTGTGTGTGTTTGTGTGTGGAAACCTGTTTGTCTATGACACTGATATGGCCTGGCTCTAATTACGGAACTTCATAACCTCTTGCACCAGGGTTTATGGGAAACTAAGCTAAATACACGTTCTGCCAACACTTAATGATAGTAAAATGGAACCACACATGGACACGCAGTCATTCAGCTACTGGTAAACAAGAAAAACCATGGATGCAGCGTCTAATAAAAGACAAGGAACAAAGAAAGCTACATCGTCCTCATTATGTCATGATTTTCACAGAGAACTGCTCTCAGAACATGTTATTGCTGGCTGGCCTTGAGAATTAGGAAAACTTTGGTACAGTACCATTGCAAAATGTTTCAAAGAACACATTGCATAAGCTTAGTTTGTGACTCTGTATCAAACCCTGATGTGTGGGTAAAACCGGGTCATTTGTGTAACAGACTCTTTTCTCTTTCTGTCTCCCAAAGTGAGGGACTTGTCCAGCAGCAAGAAGATCCCCAGTGATAAGATATTTACAGCCATCGCCTCTATGTTCCCCTACAAGGGCACCACAGAGGAACTGAAGGAAAAGTAAGAAAAGTGCAATGAAACCAGGGATCTGTGCACACATTGCTGAACAGGCCATTGCTTAGTGTTCACCATGGAGACACAAGCTGTCAGGGAGGAAAGTAATAATGGTGGCTCCCTCTCAGGCTCTCTGACTCAAAGGAGCAGTTGCATCAGCATCTGAAAGAGTTTTACTTACAAAGAAACATGTGCAACTGTGCTCAGCACCACTTTCAAATGAGCATACTAATCCTGTGGCACATAGACCCATCACTCCTAAAATGTTCTGTGTTACCACAACAGGTACAAGGATCTCCTGGAGCCCCCAAGCCTGGTGAAACTGCCCCCCCTATGCACCCCAAACCTGGATGGACCTTTTGCCAAATCTGTGCAGCGGGAGCAGTCGTTACACTCCTTCCACACGCTCTTCTGCAGACGTTGCTTCAAATATGACTGTTTCCTCCACCGTAATGACTTGATTTATGTTTATTATCATTAGACCAGCAGATTCATTTTAGTTTAGGTTTGTTGATTCTTAGTGAGATTGTGATAAATATGCCATGACTTACCAGCTTTGTGCCTTGAGTACATTTACTTAAATGTATACACCTGCTGCCTACCTGTTGTACAATGGAGACACAAAATGTTTGTTTCTGTTCATAAAGCTTTTCATGCTACACCCAATGTTTACAAGAGGAAGAGTAAGGAAATCCGCATAGAGACTGAACCGTGCGGCATAGACTGCTTTCTGTTACAGGTATCTCAGGCTCACACTTATTTTGTCTGTTTATCCATCCTATATGCTGTAGTACTTGCTGTATCTTGTTGTTTACTTGTAGTTTTTTTTCCCCCATCCCCCTGCCCTCTTCTAAAGAAAGGGGCTAAAGAATTTGTCGATCAGAATATGTTACGGTCACAGAGGTCTCGGAGGCGACGAAAACAGCAACGTCCCACCAGCTCCAGCTGCCCTGGACCATCTGGATCTGCTGAGGAAGGCAAAGAGGGCGACAGCGACCATGAGACCACTTCCTCCTCAGGTAGGACTCTGGTGTCACAGGAAAAGGGTTTGGAGCTAGTTTTCAACCCACCTAGTGCTTTTTCTAGACGTGAAAAGTAAGCAAGCAATGGGTCTTAAAGACTCTTATTTAGTTTTTATTTTAAAAACATCTCTATTATGTTAGAAAATATATAGCTATATTCATATTTTAAACTTACAGTACAGTGTTTGCTATATATTTTTATATTAAACAATTTATGTTTTGAGATTTCCATTTTCTGAGCTACTCTAAAGTAAAAATCTGTTTAATTCTGGCAGTTTAATTGAGGCTGCATGCCCTGGATTTCCAAACAGAATGGACACAGTTCTTGTGTTTCTGAGACTGAGTCACTGTATGACTGGGTGGATGCATCATTTACCATAACGCTCCCCAAACTCTCAGTTCCCAGAAGGCTGTCTGCCCTGACTGTCTGCAGTCTTTCAGAAAAGTGAAATCTGGCTAGAGATGATAGCCATCAAGTCATATCCTACTCTCACATCTTCCCCCATCACTTCCCAATATCAGCTCTCTTTTGTCAAAATAAACCAACCATTAGTTTTGCGTGCTCTAGCGCCAACATAAGCACTTTGTTCCTTCTCTCTATACTTGTGTTTTTTTTATCTTCTTTTTTTCATTTCTACTGGTTTCTTCATGTGGAGAGCAGCAGTAAGGCAATAGGAGCAGGCTCCCCTTGCTCTCTGTCTTCTCGTCTAGAGTTCTCAGGTTGTTGTTCATTGTCATCAGTGCCTCACTGGAAGTCTCTGTTAGTTTTGGAAACCACTCATGCTCAGCCAGTGACTCAGCAGACTCTCTCGCACATGTTGACATAATGTGGAAAAAACAGATTGTTGAGCAGATTAATAAAGATACTCAGTGCTGCAGCATGCGGCCATACCAGTGCTGCATTCAGCCTGTTGCCAGGCAACATTCGGCTCTCTGCCTCGAACTGTGGGTGTACGAGCATTGGTCTTGAATGCCCAGATGCTAAATCTAGGCCTATGCTCCCTTGTGTTTGTGTGTTTGTGCATCCAGACACAAAAATGGCACCCAGAAATAGTTGTGTGTAAGCGTAGGGTTAAATTACCAATACTGATGTGTGTCTGTGCAAATAAAATAAAAAAAGTTCAAAAAAGATTTAAAAACATTAAATGAACTTTCTGTCAAGACTAGTTAGTCACTAAGGCTAAAGTGTGTTTCCCTTTGTGTATCTCCTTCTCTAAAAAACAGAGGGGAATTCACGGTCCCAGACTCCCACCAAGCTGCGTCCAGGGGATGATGACAGGGAACAGCAGGCGTGCTGTGTCGTCCAGTGGAGCGGGGCAGAGGAATCACTGTTCAGGGTACTGCACGGCACATATTTCAACAACTTCTGCTCCATCGCTCGCCTCATCGGTACCAAGAACTGCAAAGAGGTGAAAGGTTCCCTCAGTTTACAGCTTGCCAATCTCAGCATGTTTTCTCTGGCAACATAAATAGAAGATAAAGTGCTATTACTGATCTATTTGCTACATATAGGATCATATTTTCTAAAAAGAGTATTCCACTGATTTATCATTTTACTCCTGTAACACTGTCACACTCGCAATGGAGACATCACTTATTTTAATAACACATACTCCTCTTCCTGGCACCTACATGACCCATAATGTAAACCAAGCACTGGCTCTTTGGTCAGAAATGTTGGTGTGTTGTGCTAGTAGCAACTAATATAGCCTCCAGTCGCCACACACAGTCAGAGGTGAGATTTAGGCTACAGACATCTGATAAAGTCTTCACTCCCAAATGACATAACTTGAGGGAATATATTAGATTTTACACTGCTCCCTCTGGGGCCAACAAAGGCTTTTTACATATATCTTGTAGTACTCCACAGGACCTGTAAACAGACTTTGATGTTTAAAAAAAAAACATACTAGAATGAAAAAAAGGCTGGAAATTGACTGTAAAAATAATTTTTGTAGAATAAAAATGAAAGGGCCCACAACAGGCAAAGGAAAGAAAATGGTGAGAAACAGGAAATAGAGGTGACAGGACTTATGAGAAATGAGTTTTCTATTTTTTGGGAGAAAGAAGTAAATGTTACCATAATTGTAAGTAAACATCTGTTTCATCTGTGATTTATTAGAGAGAGAGAGAGAGAGAGAGATAGTTATATTAGTTATGAAATGTAGTTTTAAATGTTAAATAAGGGACTTTGGTTAATACTTTCTGAAACTTCTGCATAGTTGTTTTGAAACGAAACAGAAAACATACTAGTGTGACTATACTCGTTCTGATTTCTGTTACATTTGCGTCAGTGCTGATGTAATAACAAATGCAACCTGCGTCTGTAATTTTAGGGCAATAATTATAGTGACTTCAGAGAAAATGGCACGCAGCGCCATAAACAGGGACGCTTAGCAGATGTGATATTTGTCATGTTTTCTGATGTAATCATTCAGCCTGAGGCATTCCCATCATGTTGGCTGTACATACTGTAAAAAGCTTCATAGAAATATCATAGCTTTTAAGCCATTATCTAATTTTTAAACACAATCAACCGAATACAAAACAGGACAAATCTGAGACATATTGAAGCACCCTTATCCCTCTATATCCAGTCCCTTTAGCATCTCTTATCCATGAGGCAGGCAGTACTGGCCCATCCGTCTTGGCCCTGCTGGTATCCAGAGGGTTCCTTCCACTTCTTAACCGAGAGGAAAATGCTGAAACCAGCTGCATCATTATGTCTGTGTCATAGGGAAGATGCCAAATCTGGGGTTTGTCAGCCAGAAATGGTTGCGCACAGTTGTATGTGTATGTCTGGCCTCTGCAGTGGAGTCCTGATAGCAGAGGAAGGGGGACAGGATGTTCTGTGGTGTAATCGCGGTGGTGTACTTTTCATCTTGAGCGGCACAACACAACATAATGACGATGAAGGGAACAGAATTTCTTCACAGTACATTACATTTGGGATAAATTTCCACTTGTTGTTATTGTTCATATCATTTCATTTCCCCCAGGTTTACGAGTTTGCAGTGAAGGAAGTCTTGATCCATCGTGTTCCTCTGGAGGATGGAGGCATTTCACCTCAAAAGAAGAAAAGGAAACACAGGCATTATAATACTACTTATTCTCCCTCTCTTTTCTATCATAATATAACATCATCTCTTGCAAAAGAAAGCTTAACCCTCAGTAAAGCTTCCTTGAACATTTGAAGGTTAAAATAAATAAAGTCATGAAGAAGTAATTGTATTTATCATTGTTTTATTAGTAGTAGAACTGAGGGTGGTCTTCCTGTCACACCTCTTCTTTTTATCACTTAATGAGAAGTGAATTAGTTGAATTTGTGTGGAACAAGTTAGGTAGGTTTTTGACAAAGCTCAATAAGCCTTTTCATTGTGTTTGTTTGATGTGGCAGGTTATGGGCAAAGATTCAGCTAAAGAAAGGTATGTTCATCTCTTAGGAAAACATCATAACATGACAGTTACAATGCTGAAATACAGTACACTTTATGCTGAAGGTTTTGCCCTCTTTTGCTCCAGATAATTCATCCAATCAGGTGTACAACTATCAGCCATGTGACCACCCCGATCATCCCTGCGACAGCTCCTGCCCATGTGTGATGACCCAGAATTTCTGTGAGAAGTTCTGCCAGTGTGAGCACGAGTGTGAGTGTCACCTTTTTTTATTCACCTGTGTCATAAATCTCACATAATGTACACAAACAAAAACACGGAAGTAGCCTGTTCTCTCTTGTGATGCTAAAAGAAAGGAGTTGTCATCACATTTTCCACTGGAAGCTCTCAGTAGCTTTAAGTCCTTTTTTGCCAGGCCACAACAGAGCAGGGCAGCAGAAAGTAAAATGATTCTGCAGTATTCTGGCAGCAGTCAGAGGGAGGCACTGTCCTCTGGTAGGGATAGGTGGGCGTCAGCTTAACACAGAGCTGCGTACAAAATGAGGCATTCACTGCTACAGCAGCAACAACCCAGAGCAGTGTTTTCCAAAATGGCCACATTGTGGAGGAAAGCATTGTGTATTTCTCCCTCCATAGAGTTTAAACCAGAGAAGGAGGTTAACGGCAAAGTAAACATTTTGCTGTGGTTTTGAAAATATATTTTAGCCTCATTTGCTCCTCCGCTGTGGTTCCACCACCTTCCCTCCCCCCTCCTCCTTACCCTAGGATTACCTCTCTTTTTCCCGTAGCAGAGGAGAGCTGGGGCCAAACAGGAAGCAGCCCCCGGTTGCACACGTGTGCGCTCTAAAGACTTGGAGGGAAATCAAAGGGATGTGACAGGCTCTGTGCCTGATACACAACATCATATCCGACATCACTATGAGTCAGACAGCTATAGCTGAACTGTTTGATGATGCAGACACATAGACCCTCACAGGCTGGGAATAGGAGGTTAAGATGGCGTGACAGAGAAGACAAATGCTGCCTGGAACTCTTTTTATGGACTGTCTTGCCCAAGCAGAAGCCACTGGAAAGACATTTCTGTTATTCTTGTCAGATCCATCTGTTCATCTGCCCAGAGGGTGTTAAGTTACACCCTGCAAAATTGCATTTCAACATACCTGCCAGCAGAGGTCTCTGAATGATCTGCTATCAGCATTACACAGCCATTAAGCTTCTGTGTTACAACTGCATTTTGAGATATGTGATTTATTTAACAAAATCATATCATGTTCTGCCAAGCTATATTATATATTATATTTCTGCATCACCCACCGCATGCAATTTGCACATAAATCTTCTTAGCACATTCCTTTTCAGAGCAGCTGTGGGTCTGTTTTCCAGGCCAGAACCGCTTCCCAGGCTGCAGGTGTAAGACTCAGTGCAACACAAAACAATGTCCCTGCTACTTGGCTGTGAGGGAGTGTGACCCAGATCTGTGCATGACCTGTGGCGCTGCAGACCACTGGGAAAGCAAAGTGATTTCCTGCAAGAACTGCAGCATCCAGAGAGGCCTCAAAAAGGTACACAGAGGAATTTGAAGGTCTTGATAGTTAAACATTTGTAATGTGATTTTCTGTTATTCTAAATAAAAGTCAGAGGTGTTAAGATCTTTCATATGGCTCTTGGTTTTCCAACCTAATATCTGACCTCTCCTTTAGCACCTGTTGTTGGCTCCATCAGATGTTGCCGGGTGGGGCACCTTCATCAAAGAGTCTGTTCAGAAGAATGAATTCATCTCAGAGTACTGCGGCGAGGCAAGTCAATGCAGTTTAGTTAGATCAAAATTACTTTTTTATGAGGTCTCAGCTTGATTGAAGGTTTGTACTTAAACAGTGTTAAATATGTGTGTATGTGCATAAGCAGCTGATCTCCCAGGATGAGGCAGACCGACGTGGCAGGATCTATGACAAATATATGTCTAGCTTCCTTTTCAACTTAAACAATGGCAAGTATTCCACACTCTTCCTCTAATATTATATGCCAGCCATACCGCTATTAAAGTATACTAAGTAATCTGTAATATACTCTGTGTCTCTGCACTGAGTAGACTTTGTAGTGGATGCCACAAGAAAGGGGAACAAAATCCGTTTTGCAAATCATTCAGTTAATCCCAACTGCTACGCAAAAGGTTAGACTGAGTCACTTCATTCTGTTGTGAAGTCAGATATGATTTGCTGTGATATATTTATTTTTTTGTAGTTTTTGTTGGCTAATGTGTTTGCTGCCATTGTAGTGGTAATGGTGAATGGAGACCACCGTATTGGAATCTTTGCCAAACGAGCTATTCTACAAGGAGAGGAGCTGTTCTTTGACTACAGGTAGAGTCACAGGTCTTTTTGTGACTCCATCAGCTTCAAAGTAAAAAAAAAAAAACACCAAGGCCGCTGTACATTGTGTCTGAATTACTCGTTACTCCAGGATGCTAACTTAGACTCTTTACTTCATCTTCCTCCCACAGATACAGCCAAGCCGATGCCCTCAAATATGTGGGGATAGAAAGGGAGGTAGACATGACTTAGCTACAGTGCATCTGCTGCCTACCTCCATAACCCTGCCCCTAACTCCTCAGCCACCCACTAATGCTTTTGTCCCTCTGCAGCATCACATCTAGCTTACAAGTCCTTATAAACAGCCATTGTCTCTGCCCTGTTTGCTGAAAAAGTAGGATGTCCATCCCTGCTGTTTACAGGTGCTCCTGCTCCGCAGACAGTGCAACACCTCCTCCCGTGACAGCTGTTGGCTCAAGTCACCGCACCTACCCACGAGACTGTATACACCAAGCTCATGAAACTAAAGTGGAAATAATATTAATCCCTTTGATTACTGCATCAATAGGATCACTCGTTTTTTTCTAGTTCCATCTTTTCAAGGCAAAGAGGCTACATTTAGCCATCATACAGTGTGTTACTCTCTCAGTAGTTTTTTACTGTACTTAAAGATCAGCTTTTGTTGTTGTACCTCAACACATAATGTAAGCTTTTCCATTGTACCTAATGACGACCAGTGAAATGCATGTGCTGTCTCTTGGATAAAAAAACCATTAAACATGTTAGCCACGACGTTAGCTTCAGTCAGATGCTGCCCTGTGCAGTCGATCAGTATTGTAGTGTGATGTTACCCTCCAGATGTTCTTCAGAAAAATTTCATCAGGTTCGACAGCTTGTTTGACAGCTACGTTCCTCTGCAAACCTGTTCAGCAGCTACCGTCACCACCACATCTTAACAGTAAAATAAGTTATTTGTGCATTTATATCATTGTTCTGCAAAAATAGGCACCCAGATGAAAAACCGACTGATTGAATGTAATCTGTAGATGAAGGTGAAGAGATCTCATCCTTTTCATTTTACACATTAACCCATTCTGTTTGGTACTCTGACCAACATGCATGCATGCCAAACATTGATCATCACATTTACATGACCTTGAAGCCTTCACACTTTGCAAGGCAAATAATTAATAAATGAACTAGTCACATGATAAATGTCTTCCTTATCGAAATTGTATAAGTGCCAAATGATTCCATGTAGAAAAGGCTGAAACAATGTGGATATGTTTCATGACAAACAGAACTGTGTAAAAGGTAACTTTGCATGGTTAAACCAATGACAAATGCAAAATTATCAGTGTTTGACCAAATATTAGTCCCCCACATGTGAATGTGAAGTATCATGTATCATCTCCTCTTTAATTTTTATATGTCCAAATTTATTATTCAGTTTTTCATTTATAAACATTGAAGCCCACTTTGAAATGAGATCTTTCTCAAAAGAGGTGAACAAAATGGAGTTTACTGCTATGTACAGTGTATGCCTATAAAAATAAAAGTTTAACTTTATACATTAAAACACGCTGTCCTGGTCGTCATGTGTGTCAACTGTAAACCATTGCTGTGCTAAAAGCATCTCGCTTAAAATAAAACATACACAGTTTCCTTTTAGCTTCTTTTATTGTTGAGGTGACAGTCTGGCTTCCCTTTGATTTACACAGTAATGGTCATTTACAGTGAAAATATTACATAAGAAAATTGAGCATACTGAAGAAAAAAAACAATTCTGAAAATTCAGTGCGACCACCAACACATATGTAACCATAATTTCTGGTACTTTTTTGCAGAAGGAATCGGTTTGGTGCTGCAGAAAATTCGACTCTGCCTGCTCCTCATTCCGGTGCTTTATCTTCCGATTTCATGCACAATATCACTGTTAGGGTATCTGCTGATCCAGTAAACCAGTGTTCAAGCTTTCAGAACACAAAAGAGAAACTAATTTAACTGTATGTCCCTTTAAATATATCTTTTAATTCTGATAGTAATCTTAGGTTTAACTCTAGGAAGCATTAACGAGTATTTCAGAAGGCTTACATGTTGTGGATTCAGCACATACCTAGCTAAGATTCTGCTGGCTTACTCCATCTATTGGCCATTTTATCTTAATCTATTTTACCCATGTCCTTGCCTCTATTATTAGGAAGCAGGATGGACACACTTCAGGGCCAGTTCAGCACAAATTCAATGACTTTGCCTTGTTTCTGTCTCACTGTACTACAGTTGGTGCAGTAGAGTAGGTAATTACAAATGGCATCAGTATGCATATTGGTGTTTGTAATGAGAATTATTATTTAATAAGTTGTACCTTAGTGGACAAACTATGACTACAGAAACATTTACACATCCGGTCAGTCACACATACACACACTCCAGGGACCACGCATGAATTAACTAGTGAGCTGCAATGAAGTGACACTGCTAGGCTGAATGTTTATAATCTATTTACCAATGATTACAGTGAATATAAGTCAACTTTGTCCTAATAGGCAACAAAGTATATGTGAATCAGGTTTCCTGGCTTGCGCCAAATAAAAACTTGGATTGGTGAATGTCCATTTAACAAAAAAATATTATTTGTATCAATCACAAACCAACAATTTCACTCTGCTTTGCTCACTTTTCATTTTCATTCACCATTTCATATAGCATTCTTAAAAATATAGCCTGCAAATGCCAGCTTTGACTGAATCTGTACATTTTCATACATTATTTGCAAGTCGTGCCTCTATAGTATATGCAGTTTTTACACCTACTGTACATCCTGTCACTGTACAACTTTGCACAGTCCTGTCCATTAATGCTACAGAGATCAAGTACTGTACTTTCGTTATCCTGAGCACTTTAAAAAGCTTTCACAAATAATTTTGCTTTCAGCAAGCTACAGTGAAGACATCAACTCAGATCTTCATTGTAGTGTCTGCTCATACATTACAGAGTCAAAGGATTTACATTTGAACCACTCAGTTTAACATTTTTAACTTGTTTTGTATAAACCATAGGAATAAAAAAGTTGCTTAACACATTATTCATATAATCATGTATACACTCATTACATTCTATTTGCTATTATGCATCTGCTAATAAAACATATTAACATCACTGGTGGCTGAAAAAAGCTAATATTATTGCATGTTACTGCAAAGTGCGCTCATGCTCTACATATGCATAGCTGATTTATCATATTCCCCCCCTACTTTTTCACATACACGATAGTGCTTTAGTATTAAGGAGAGCTGCAGTGACTGATGATAGCCCCAAGCGTTGGTTGCACTACGCATCAAATGAAATTTTATCTTGTCGAAGAAGAACATTTCATTGGACTAGAATTTTCAGCGTTCGACTGCAAGCAGCTAAACAAACAGTAGCAGCGATGACAGTGTGGTGAGTTACTGTCCTATAGTATTATGCAAAAATATTTGAGCAGTGTGAAATAGAAGTAAAACATTAGCATTTACACTCTTGTGGTCCCCTATACATATGTAATTGTGTGTGCATGTGTGTTTATACAGTATGTATGTGTCAACACAAGACCGTATGGAGTAACTGTTTCCCTAAAAATGCATATTGTTGGAGATGTTTTTAAGAAGACTGATTCTAGTCAGACACTCTGTAGCACCGAGCTATTGGCATCTTCAGTATAAGCAACCAGAAGTATGGCAGAAATAAACGAGAACTTAAATATTTTTGGTCATCCTGTCCCTGGCAAGCTTCATCACATTGACTTCTGTTTTGATTCTGCAGTACACCAACCACCTGTGAGCTGTCACACCTAGAGGTACAGCATATTCATTACACTCATTTCTGAATCCCCACGGTTGAGAATGTGAGAATACTGTAATCAGCAAAGCTGCTATCTACTGACAAGTGATTCTGAACCACTTACAAGTGCCATTCTGTATAGGTGATGCACTGATATAGGCTGAAATACAACTAGTATAAGCATATGTACCTTTTACAGTCCTTTTATGTATAATTTCAAAGCTTGACATCTCAAAGCTCCATGCTTGTCAGTAAGTTCTCTCTTTATTTGGTTGTTCTTATTTATGAACTTTATTTTATTTTTTTCTAAATTTGGGTTTTTGTTGTAGTATTTTAATACACCAGCTGAAGATGGGTTATGGCTCAATGAGAGATTGTCATCAAAGGGTATATTTTAGGATGACAAATCTATACAGTAAGATAATAATAGCTTTAACTGGTTTTTAACATGGCTCAGAAAAGAAATCACTCAATAAAATTATGTTCCAGCTGTAATTAAACATCCTTTAAACCCCCACAGTGTTCTATCTGAATAAGCTATTATGATTACGTCAGATCAAGCTTGCTCAGATGAGGCACTTCAGTATTTCACCCTGCAATACAGTGTAAGACTTGTTGGCTGCTCACATGACTTGGGGCTTGATTGAACTTTGAATCCTGCAAAACCTGAACTTACCAAAATAAGAACTATGTAGAGCACCAGGGATCAAATCCCACTCTTCTGGGCAAAGGAACACAACTCAAAATGTAAAAAAAAAAGAAAAGTAAAGAAATAGAATACGTAATACAGATATTTGTGGCTGTTGGAAGTGCTTTTTCTATCTACCCAATCCCTAGTGAAACCCCACCCACTGTCCCATGGGTCTTATGATGCTAGTCACTCCTGAACTCCTCTTCAATTTCAGGGAGGTGCTTCTTTTCTCTCCTCAGGGTTTCAGCGGTCAGTGGCCTGGAGCTGCTAGGAGACTCTAGGTTCTTGGGTTCGTTGGTGTGGTAGCTGCCTTTCTGCTGATACGCGTAGACATAGATGCTATACAGGCCTCCAAAGAGCAGCAGCAGTGCCAGGATGACAATGACTGAAGGATAAAAATAGCTCAGTCAGAGTTAATCTTCAGCACAATAAGGAAAGAGGGGCTGCTAGAAATACAGATGAGGAGCAGCCTCTGTCTGATTGAATTCGATGTGACTGTTAAAAGGTCAATCAGCATTCAAAATGAGTCGTAGATTTTTTTCAATGTGGTCACACTTTGCATACCACCTGCCTCTGAGGCCTGTTACCCCCAACCAGTGCTTCCAACATAATGGTGCAGTAGCTGAAGTACTTTACAGCTAATGATTCAAACCTCAGCATGCTCACAAATACCCTCAGTAGATTGCTATAAAATATGGATCAATTATTTTGCGCTGCTAAAAACATCAGGTGTTTGACAGTATTATTTTCCTAGTACAGATCAACTACACCTAATACAGTGCTTAGAGCAGCAACCAAACATTATTTAAAGTAATACTGTCACAAGACAAACATTTTCTTTGTGTCACTATAGCAGAGTTTGTTCGCTGGCACAATTTAGCATTTTTATTTTATTCACTACATTTAAAATACGAGGTGTAATTTTTCAGTCATAACCATTTTTCCTGAGCAGTATATCAGACAGGGATGATGTCTGATAACTGGGGGGAGGGGGAGGGGCATTGTTGGATGCCTGAATGGTGCACTAATCTTTAGTGACACGCTTATGTTCTGCATAATAGCATAATATCTTTGAAGCGGAATGATGTATTAAGCTGAAGCAATGAACAGTAAACTGGGTCTGTGCAGACTAAATATAGATGATCCAGTAAAGGTCTCAGACAGGGATGAAGTAGGGAGTCTGTGCCACAATTTAATCCTGAGACTCCAGCCTCTCCTGCTCATCAGGGGGGCCTGCTCTCATTTTGTCTGAAATACTGTGCCCCAGACCATCCATCTGGCCTCAATATTCAACATGTCCTCTTGTTGTAAAGTCTATGTTAAAGTTACTATACTTGTAAATGATCTGTTTCTGAGTGAGCATGGTAGAGTGTATGTGTAAGTACATAACAGACAGTGACTGACTGAAAATTTGTCACAAACAAAGTACAGTAGATGTATGTATGCAGGGCAAGAGCTGACTAACGAGAGTCTGTTAGAGAGAAAAATAATCTTACCTGTTATCCAAAACAGGCCAAGGTCATCATGAATATAAAAATACTCTGCAAGAGAGATACACAGTTGTGTATGTGAACAGTGAACATAAAGTTATATTCTCTCCATAAAGTTACTGACATGTTATGAGACATACATAAAGTATAAACTCACCTATGCCAGTAAACCAGGGGTCTACCTCCCATGGCACATAACCCAGGACAGGAGGGAAGGCACCACAGTTGGACTCAGACACATAGCCTTGTATTGACACTGGAGGTTCTGTCTCATTGGGACGGAAGAGGGCCTTCAAAGGGGCATAGACATTATATCTCACTCCAGATATACAGCCTATGAAGCCCGGAGCATTATGCCTCTGGATCTCATAGTCAATGTCTCCAACCTCTGAAGGGCCATACACAAATAATAAAATATTGTAAGAGTTTCTTTAAACAAAAACTCAATGAATACTACTGGCAGTAAGATGAATATATTATGTTTAATATGTTCTTATTGACAAGTGGTAAATTAGCTATTTACCCATCACTCTACCCAGAAACATGGACTTGGGAGAGTCAAACCTGGCATCCTCCACTAAGGTTATCTTTTCCACTATGGGCTCCATGTAATCCACCTGTGGGCAGGGTAAAATATAATTTACACCTCACCAGTACAAGAAGGGAACTGACTCATAACATTAATGTGTAAATGACCATAACATCACAAACAGAACTAACTACAAAAATACTTCATATGTGAGCAACTACTAAAACACAGCTGTAGAAATTTTTACTGTATTCTGGATATTTAGCATGTAGCAGTCATTACTTTATTTAACTGACAGCTTGGGAAATATGCTGGTTTTGCAGAGTTAGATGAGAAGATTTATACTGCTCTCATGTATGCACAGTAAATATGAATCATCAGCCAGTGAGTTTAGCTTAGCCTGAAGACTGAAACATGTGGCTGCTGCTAGCCTGGCTCTGTACAAAGTTCAAATCTACCTAGTGAGTTTGTCTTTATGCTAAGCTAAGCTGAGTGGCAATGGGCACCAGATACAGAGAACAGTATCAGTCATCTCATCATCTAAGTCTACAAAAGGAAGCAAAAGGAGTTATTTTACAAGACAAACTCTTCCTTGTGTAGAAATTCATGTACAGTATCTCTGTATTCTTATAATTCAAAAAAATAATTGGATCTACTTTGGAGAGGTTTGTCAGTTGGACATGCTTAGATGGGTGTAAACAGTCTGCGTGTCTAGAAATAAAACTATTCCACTGAAAATAAACCAGAGATCAGAGTTTACACAGTAACAGCAGCGAGACCATAAACCTGTGTTTTGATGGTTCTGTTGTGTCTGGTTATGTTGACATAGTGGGGGTATCCATCTGCCAGGTTTCGATGAGTCAGCTGGTATTTGTGTGTTATGAGCCCCAGTTTATACCTCAGATCTACACTACCTTTGAGGAGAGAGGAAACAAAAACATCAACTCCTGGGGTAGCTTTTCTTTTGCTGAGCAGTCTTCTGCAACACAGATGTTATGAAATTCAATCGTATCCATTCTCAGTCAAATTGTTTCTGAGCTTTTCCTACCGTCATTCTTGAGGATGACAGCAATGTAGTCTTGGATGAAGGAACTTATATAGAGCAACACAGCTGGTGTGTGGACAGTGCTGAAACTGAACTCTATGTCATCTGCTGTGTCATTGTAGCCAAGGCTGAAGTTGTCATAATGTGGGTCAATCCAGTTGGCCCATGCCGCTTCTTCTGATATGGGTTTCTTTCGTATGTTGTACCTGAGCCACGAGCCAATCTCAAAGTAGGCTCCAATGTCTGAGAAAAGATCACTGAGGAATTACACCTGGTTCCACATATTATGTCAATTACTAAGTTCAGGGTTTGTTTAATTTCTTCAAAAAAATGTCTGAACTCACCTTTGTGGCAGTAGAAGCCATCAAAGGCTGTGTTGTTACAATCACAAGTGTAGGAAGCATAGCCCTCAATACACTGGCCACTGTTTCGACATGGTATAGTAGCATTGAGACACTCTCCGGTGCAGTTCCTCCTTACACCCTGTTCTTCATTTACTTTCCCTTCTAGATCAAGAGGAACACCGTTCATCCGCAACCCTCGAAGACACCCCAAGAACGGATAATTACTGCGATTGGATGAACCTAATAAAAAGAATACTTTAATTACAAGTCATTCATCTTTAAAAATTTAAAAATGACAAATCTACTCTCAGTCAGTTTTAAACTTCCAAGTTTCCAAATTCACCTTAGGCAACCTACCTACTAGAAGAGGATTAGTAAACTTCATGGTGACAAAGGTCTGACCTGGGAAACGTCTGACAGCCCAAGGCTGATAATCAACTTTTATCCGGGCCAGCTTCACATTAATCTCAGCCTGAACAAAGTGCCACTCATTGTCATTGAGTGGCACAGGGGAATGTAAGGTCACATTAAGGATCCCATCACCAACCATAAATATAAATAAAAGATTATGGGTACCTGGGAGAGAAAAAGAAAAATATAAAGGAAAGATAATTACAACAAACCTATGGTGATTCTTAGATAAATCATTCAGTGGTGTGAGGAGAAAAGTCTCCTGCTATCCAATGAATCTACACACTATTGAGCTCTATCCGTATAAAGTTTCGAAGGTGGTCATCAGAGTTCTCCAAGATGACGCCATGGTCGCGATAGGTTTTGAAGTGGAAGGAAATGTCTGCGCTGGAGCCAGGCCTGAATGGGGGGAAGGTTATGTGGGTGGGCTTGGTGAAGGCTATAGTGTTCCAGATGTTTCCTGTGAAATACATTGAAATATATGTAAAGCAGAATAACTCCCAGCCGTCCACCAACACTGGACACCACTGTGTCAGCACAACTCAGTATATTTAATCTCACTGTCGCCATGGCAGCGGAGGGGTCCAACAGTGAAGTGTGCTTCTGAGCCAGTCCTGTTGGTGTCTCCGACCACCACTCTCCTCACAGGCAGATGGTCTCTAAAGTCCAAGTAGCCCTTATCTGAGTACCTAAAAAAGCCATCATGGGAATGTTAAAACTACACTGTTGGTGTAACAGACACAAGCTAACCCTGTTCACTGTGTCCTTTTCTCACCATTGTCTGTAGTCAGCATCACAGTTGCACTGAAACTTGGGGTCAATACAGGTTTGGTTAATGGTGCAGCCACATTTTTGTACCTCCCTGAATGTCCCACCCCAGTAATAATGGCTCTCATTGTTGCGCCCAATCCAATAACCAAAAGGTCTTCCATCTATTTAAAAGGAAATGGTACCTTGTCAGTAACATTTTTATGAATCAGCACACTACTAAAACAATAAATTCACTGATCCCACTTACTGGGAGTGTTGAGGAGACGAGACTTATAGCAGGAGTAGTCAATCCACTGCTCACAATACATGGAGGTGTTGGCCAGAGCAGTAACGTCATCCCAGGAGGCATTCCAGTAGTTGACGTCTCCTATATACGGCCGGTCTATTGAACTGCCAGTCACCTTGGTACCGTCCACACGATTATTCATAATCACTGTCCAAGCTTTATAAGCTATGAGGTGGTGTGACAGATGTAGGGGAAACAATCATAATTGAAGAAAAATAAAAAGAATGTTAAGAATATTAACAGAAATCCTAGACATAAAGTAACTAGTTCTGGAGAATCACAATCATCCAATACAAAGACACACCCCCCACACAGAGACACACAAAAACATTGGGCATATCTTGTTTTATGAGCCCTTTTAATTTCCCATGAAATTTCAGCACATATTTCCCATTACAGGAACATGATAACCGGGTGATTTCTTGCTTCCTGACTTTTCATTAACAGCTCTCTGAGGATTTAGCAAAAACTGAACACATTGCTGATAAAGCTGACAGTGATTGCTTACACTTCATTTTGCAGTACACCTCAAATGGTTTCAGTGGTCCACTGAGATCAGGATCGATGGTGTAGTTTCCAGACCAATACTTTCCACTGAGTCTGTAGGCCTCACATGACTCTTTATAAACCGCTGTTTGAGGAGAGAGATGATCAATTTGTTATTATTACGGAGAAATATAGCATGAGCCAGGTGCAATTAATTAGGAAAAGCCATTTACTGAAATGAGGAAATTACGAGCCAGCACTTACACATGTGACACACTTCTCCTTTATAGCCTGTGTTCTCACAAAGACAAATAAAGTCGTCCCAGGACTGGATACATCTGCCCTCGTGTTCACATGGATTTGGACTACACCTGTAAAGAAAACAGATGCTTACGCTGAGTTTTTTCATATTACAAAAGTAAAAGACTAACAACATTTTTGTTTCATTTCCTCATTCTTTCTTTTCTCTGTGATATTTATCTATTGTTAAGAAAATGCACACAGAGTTTATGAGGTGACACTATGAGATGACGGATGCCACGAGCTCTAAAGACTCACAATTCAGTACCAAACACATCATAAACATTGTGAATGAGATCAGAGTACCTTAACATTAATAAAATATACAGGATCAGTAATGAGTCATCAAAGCTATGTGTATTTATGTGTGTGTGTGTTGTTCTAGTGTTATAGGGTTTGGTCATTGTTGCATTGCTGTTCTTTATGCAACTTTTCTGCTGCTGATGACATCATGTATGTTGTATAATACATACTGAAACCTACCTGTCAGTGATACCACAGGTGCCTAACAACAGCTCAGCATAGTGCCCCCACTGTCGCTGCAGAATAATGTCAATATCAAGCTGTTCATTGTCTATGAAAATATGTTGCATGCAACCATGGAAGCGATTCAGTTTGGTCTCACACTTCCTTATTGTGTTATTGGTTTGTGGACAACCTGCGTGCAGGAAAGCAAAGCAAATACTGTGTCAGTATAATACAGATTTATCTATATGCTGATTTCTTTTTGTCAGCAGGTTTTTAAGTCAACACCATACCTCCAAAAAAGTACCGGTCCCCAGTCCGAACCATGAAGGGGTTGGTGATTTTCAGAGGAGAGCCCTCCTCTTCATCGATTGTGAGGGTCAGCAGATTGTCTCTGGCTGCCAAGTCCACTGAATGCCAGTAACCATCATTTAACCTGTAACCTAAAGATTGGATAAACTATGCTATAACAGAGATGCACATGCACAATGCACAGCATTCATTTAGAACTGACTGACGCCTACCTGTACACAGTATGTTCCAACATTTTTTTTGTTGTATCTAACAGTGCTAAAGATTACTTAAGCCTACCCGCAGCAAACTGGAGTTTCTTCTTTCCAGGCTGGAATATAGTGACGTTGATCTGTCCCTCGCTCAGACCCAACTCAAGGGCACCCAGGTCATCAGCAAAGCGCGTGAACATTAGCAGCCCTGTGTAGTCCCACGAGCGGAACTTGAACTTGACAAACATACGAGGTCTCCTGAAGAAGCCCGGTACCTGGAGGTAGTTGTTGGGCCCAGCAAAGGTCATTGGCTTGAGGAGAATGTCACGGCAAGCAAAATGCATCTTTTTCTGAGGGTAAGAAATTCAAATCACAAAAAGGGTGTCACTATTTGGGCATAAAACAGACAAAGTAATTGTGTAATTACAATTATTAATAGTGATCAAACAGTTGCATAAGGTAATTCCTAGAATCTGAATAACTGTTTATATAGAGCCTTACTTTTCGTGGTATGCGGATGTCAGATTCTTCTCTCTTGGCCTTGTAAATGATGTTGACACCATTGATGAAGACGTTTTCCAAGCAGCCCCGGAAATTTGGTGTGGTTGGGAGGTGAGGCAAGTTGTCCTCTATTACTCCTCCTACATACAGCTAAGAGATTTCAAGACAATTAGTTACCCTCATTAACCTGGAACATTAATCAAAGGAGGATAATTAACCCAGATGCTGAATTACCTGTGTATCTAGATCCAGGTGGGTAAATTCTCCATTACAGATGGCTGTCACTGTGTGACTGTCCACTGTTAAGTTCACCTGTCTACCATAGCGCTTGATAGTGACATAGTGCCAGTGTAGGTTATCAAGAAGGCTTCCAGCAGTCAGTGTAGTTCGACCATCTACTTTGTGTACTACACTACTTCCTGAAAAACAGAGGACAAAAACAAATACTCAAAACTGCTCTAAGCAACTAAATATAAAAGGGAGAGAAAATGCAGTATTTCTGTAGGGCTCCAATCAACAAACTGTTATAACCAACAATATTGATTTCAGGACTGAGGGAAGCCTGACTCTTTCTGAGATGGATGTCACTGTCCCATATGCCAATATTTTCTTTACCTACCATTCTACGACAAAGTCCTGTCTATAAAGTTCAGCTTTAATGATGTCTCTCTAGTGTCTGGTTTGTTGTATCTCTCTCTTTCCTTCATTTCCTGGCATTGCTCTACTGCCTGCATATTAAAGTCAACCCTAAATACTATTAAAAAACAACTTATCCAACAAACAACACGTGGTACCAAGGCTGATGTGCAAGTAGAGACGGCCTTTTTTCAGCTCTAGCATGAAGAGGTCTCCCTGAATCCCCTCACTGTGCAGCAGCAGGCCATCCTGCTCCAGAGTCTTGAAATTTATGGCGATGTGGTCATGCAGTGTGCGAGACCTCTTTCCTGGGTACATGTAGACCACTGAGTCATCCCCGTTGTACTGTAGGACATAGGAATCTGAAATGTAAAGCAAGACAATTCTGTATTCAGGACTGACTACAGAACATTTAGATTTAAAATATTACCCATGTTGTTGTAAGTGAGGCACATTTGAGGTTATATACAATCCTGTGTGGCATTTATTGAGGTTTAAGGAATTATCTGAATAAATGTTACATGACTTATTTCCTGGAGCTCTTTGCTTGTTGGCATTTAGCTGGTATAGGATGTCCATAACCATGGATCAGGTGATACTGAGCTTAGTCATGTTTTAACTAGAAACATATTGTAATATATTTTGTACTTAAATGTGGTGGCATATTATCAAATAAGCTCTAGGACTGTAGAATGTCCTTGGATCTGAATCAGAGGCAGTAAATCCCTGTGTAGTGTCCATCAGTCATTTTTACCGTAAGCGCAGCCAAACAGCTCAAGCCTCACTCCGATCTTCCCTCTATTCTCTGTGTTCCACGCCAGAGGCAGCAGGCGAATGTGTTTAGCAGTGAAAGCATAATGGAAGACATTCCTCTTCACCTGATAATAATTCCAGTTCCCAGGCAGTGTCTGCAAACAGATGAGACAGGGAAAGAAGGGAGAGAGTTACTGAGTCACAGCAAAAGTGTTAATGCCTCATTAAGAAAATGGAGATGAGCTGATGAGAAGCTTAACCATGTCAGTGCTAAGAGAGATAATATACTGTGCTGTTTTTGTTTTAGGGCTGGTGACAATGAAAATAATGGAACATCCACTGATTGCAGAATTGGCTGTAGAGATTATGTATGTCTAGGTAATCCTCAACTCATCCCTGTTATGCTTTCATTCCACCTATACTCCAACCATTCTGGCTCAGTGACACCTACAGAGTTTCCTCCTTTCATGATGTACGGTGTCCAAGAGTCTCGCCGGTCTCCATAGAGCAGGGTGTACTTGGTGACCCAGTCATATGAGTTGAAGGTTCCTTGGGTGGCAATGGCCACCAGTCGGTACTTCCTGCCCAGGTCTACTTGTAGCCATGGCTGCCTGTCATTTGAGGATGGGGACCAGCCACTGCTACCTGAGGGGGAGAAAATGGAAAATGTTTGATTTGAGGGTGAGATATACAGCCTGATAGAGATGAAATCATGACCAAACCAACTGTGACATCAGCTGGAATTAAATTCCTGGCCATCAGCCACTGCTGAAGCTGCCTCAAGTTACATAACATGAGGCAGTTCATCAGACTTTGTGAAGCTCCCTATGGTGCCCTAAGTATATATACAACTTTTTTCACATATGCTGAAATACTCTTAAAGACATGTAAACAGATTTTGATGTATAAAAGTGGTGATGTCCTTTAAGATTGTCAAGAAATTTAAGAACTCCCTGGCTACTTGAAGCCAATTCCAGGGTTAATACACTTTGCTTTTCCTGGTGTAATATATGTGATGACAAAGGTGAATAATGCTAATTATGAATGAACTCCATATAACAGCTAAGGACTTACCATACAATTTGGCAAAATTGGCAGAGTACAAAAAGTTATATCTGGAGGAGGCCAGGAAGGAGGAGGCATAAAGCCCCGAGACAAGTGGATCAACACATTCTCCTGCAGTGATAATAAGGAAGACAACAAGGTCAGGAGTTATTAAAAAGGCCTTCTGATAGTGCATGCTCCAAATATACAAATGTGGTAAAAATCAATTCAATAAAATTTAAAGCATAACACATTTTGAAGTATACTGGTAGGAAGGTCAAAGATGGATAGTCCACAGTGCTGCACAGCCCCTATAAAAACAGGTGGACCAGGACTTGCCAGTCAAATCTTCTCAGAAAGAATCTCTGCATCCTCAGTTCTTTACAAGACAGTCACAGGTCCGTGCCTGCATGTCTGTATATTTCTGTGTAATTTCTTGAAAAGTACATGCAGTTTCATATGTAGGGAAGTCAATGTCAAACTGAGACTGTGGCTCTTCCATGCTTCATTGCAATTCTGGATGTGTTTTTGAAAGTGATAAGACGGTCGCTCATCTGCTGAACATCCGCCTATGGCTATTAAAGCTTATCACATATATACCTAATCTTTCTTGTGTCACTGCTGAAGACTATGATTATGCCCTCACCTTGAGCTCAAAGATAAACACTGTCTATGTTCTTTAAGTACTGGGTTCTTTAATAGTCTCAAGAATTTAAAATTAGATAGGTTAAAATACTGTATAGGTGGAGTAAATGAAAGGGTAGACATAGTTTAAAATCAAATGTTTTAATCTGAGTGTATACAGGTCGAAGTAAAACACAGAAATTTGATAAATAAAAAAAAGCTCAAATCTGACTCCTTTTTTATCCGTGTAATGCTTTTTAAACATTTGGAGCTGTTTTCTGGCCATTTCTCTCTGCCACTGGCTGACCTGCAAGGCTGTTCTGCTATCTCCTGTTAAGCTGTTCTTGAGATGTGATGTCAGCCTGCCTGCCACATGCTTCCTGACCCACATTCTGCCTTAGGTGTACTCCCTGCCTGGCTGGCACTTGCTGCTCACCAGTGCTTTCCAGTTGTCTCCTGTTCTGTATCCAGATGCCAGTTACAAGGTCCATGCCCTGCCTGTTTTGATTTTTCTCCTGTTCAGCTCTCCTAGTATTCTAAGTTTCCTGTGTCAACCTGATTTGTGGACTAATTATTGTCTGGGCTAAGGAAACATTTCCAAAGTAGTGACATCTGAAAACATTTCACAATATAGGTATTCTCCATAACATTAAGTATTGTTCAAATTAAGGTCAAGATAGAATACTGTCACTGGTCAGTATGTTTTTTTTTTTTTTTTTTTTTTTGACTAAGCTCAATATTTTGGGGTTTTCCTGAAGAGGATTGTTTGTTCATATATTTTTGCTCACTTCAGACATGGTGGACTTGTTTTCTGTATTTGATTACCAGATGCCATGTTTTAAGTTTTTACCTTTTCGTGCCCCCAGTGAAAGCCCATGGTGTTCATTCTAATATGTGGCTTGTAGCTTGGCCTCCTGTGTATCTCACCTGTCCACTTATGCCTCCTTGCAGTTGCCTACTTACTGCCACACTGCTGTAGGAGTGCCTCTTTTTGATAGCTAATCAGAGTGGGGCCTGGCTAATAGCTGGGTGGGAGACTGCAGGTGAACAATCTAGTGGAGGTCTGCATTTCAAACACTTGACCTCTGCAGCCCACCTACTGGGTTATCTTTATTACAACCTGGATCAATCTTCTCACCTGGTTGCCTTCTCAGTTCTCACCACCTCCACCTTTATCCTGAATAGTCAGCCTTGTATTTATTGTTATTAAAGCATCTTACAAACTGATAACCTGTCTTGCATCTGAGTCCTAAAAACACCTATCTTGACAAGGTGGAAGAAACATGCTGAGTAAGGGAAATGTGACCTTGACTTTCTGTCTCTACCACCCTAAAAGGATTTTTCACCATGGTTAACATAGAGAAGTCTGTGCTATGCTGCAGATGAGATCTGTGCTGTTCCACTCCATTACTGCACTATAATCATTACAAGTGATCCACTGCTCAAATGGCTACTCAAAGAAAAATGTGTGGAAGCTTTGTCACAGACCCGAGGTTCATTTGCTGCTGGTGGCTTAAGCTGTATTGATTGGTTTCAATTCCTCACTTAATAACTTGTGGTGGAATTTTAAATTAAAGAAGCTGCTTCCTCCTAGATTGCAGCAGGTTAACCCAGGTTGCTCAGCTCCTCCTTATGCCAAGACAGTCATGTACCCAACACTGTAAAAACTGCAACTTGTATTCTTTGGCATAAGTAACAGTTAAATTGGTAAGGATACCAGTAATTCAAGAAAAACAATGCAACTGTGCCAACAAACTCTGCTTCATTAAGTGACTCTTGGTAAATTACCATTTTAATCTGATTCATTAAACAAAGGCCACGTTCACACTGCAGGCTGAAGTGACTCAAATCCGATCTTTTTGCCCAAATGTGACCCATATTCGATTGTCTTATGACAGTGTGAACAGCACAAATCCGATTTTTTTTCAAATTCGACCCAGGCCACTTTCATATGTGGTCCTAAATCAGATACATATCCGATGTTTTGCAATGCGACTTCAGTCTGAACGGCATAAAAACGACATAAAAATTGCATGTCATGCGATTTTTATGTCATTGAAATGCGACAGACGTCACAATTCTGCGCTGGAGGAGGCGAGGCCATAAGCAGTATTTGTGCTCTCCTCCTTCTTGATGTTCTTCTTATTATTATATCTTTATTTCGATTGCACATTAACTGGTACATTGCTATGCACATGTCATCACGAGCCGCATCCATTTTTATTTTCACAAACACTACGCTGCGTCTGACGTCACGTCCTCTTCTGCGCATGCGGGTCACCTTAGGGCCATATACTGTTCACACATGAGACAGATGGCAGTCGCATTTAAATGACAGTGTGAACAACAGCGTCAAAAAATCGAATTTCGGCAAAAAATCCGATCTGAGCATTAAGACCTGCAGTGTGAACGTAGTCAAAGTTCTACTGCCTTGTCATCTCTGGTTGAAAATGCATGAAACAAGTTTACTTGGTGTAACTTGTAATCACAAGTTCATTTAGCTAAATGTACACAGTTGTTTAGGTAACTCTTTAGACAACTTCCCAGCATGCATTTCAACAAGGTTGAAGCACGCAAGACTTGGGGGTCATTTTAAGGACTAATGATCTAACTGCTAAGAGTGTCAGTTCCAATAAAACTACTACATCCAAACTTAATTGCAAACCAAGAATTCTGAATAGACAGGTTTGAGTTGGTCTTTGTGTAAACAGACAGTCAAAAAAATCTGAGTTGTGATAATGTAAAATGTGTACTCTAACTTCTGCACATTAACAGAAATAAAAATTCTAAGTTGGATGAAACTCAAGTATAATTGACTAACTCAAAATATACTTTTTTGCCTTGAAATCTTCTCAACTTTTTCTTTTTTACAGTGTACATCCCCACCTATTCAATGTCACGTTTCCTTTCCCTTACTCTGACGGCTCCTTTTGTTAATCTCCATTCAAACTCTGAAAACCATCCACTCTTTCGTGCGCTCACTACCCATTACCTCATTCTCACACTTAGCATCATCTCACTCTTTTTTTTCTCTATGCCTCTCATTTCCCCAAGGGACATTGTCACGTCACAGTAGCTAAAGTGTACCTGAAGCCTGTGCAGAGCATCCTGTCACCAGGTTTTCACCCTTCTCCTTGTGATCCTACATCGCCCCCTCCCTTCTCTACACCACACTGCTCTACAGTATATCACTCCTGCTG